CTGCTGCTGCTGCTGCTGCTGCTGCTGCTGCAGGGCCTGCTGCTGCTGCTGCTACTGCTGCGGAGCAGTGGAAGTCCCGCACCGAAAAAGTCGCGTACGAATCTGCTGCTGCTGCTGTGCTGCTGCTGCTGGAGAGAATGGAGATTGCGGCCTCGATCTTGCGGTGCTGCTCGTAGGTGTAGATCTGCTGCTGCTGCTGCTGCTGCTGCAGCAGCAAAGCCAAACGAGCTTCTGCTGCTGCATCTCGACAACCCCGCAAATCTACTGTCTCCTCAAAAGTCCCCTCCAAACCCTTTTCTCTAATCTGCGCAGCTCGCGCGCTGTCCAGCACGTACTGCAGCGCCTGGTTTGACACCTGCACAGAAACCCTAAACCCTAAACCCTAAACCCTAAACCCTAAACCCTAAACCCTAGACCCTGGCTGCGCACCCAGTCGAGCCTTCGAGCGGCAACTCGCCGGAAGCAAAAGGGATGATTGATGCGCGTGGGATAAGGACCTAATGAGGAGGCTCAAAACCCTAAACCCTAAACCCTAAACCCTAAACCCTCTCCGCTGCAGCCCCAACCTTACTATGCCTCTCTTCACGGCATCTGGCGGCCAGGGGCTAATGTCTGCTGCTGCTGCTGCTGCTCGGACTTCGCCTGCATTTTCTGTGATGCTGCTTCCTGCATTTGCTGCTGCAGTCTGGCTGTCCTCTTTGAGTTCTGTCTCCCTGCTTCCCATATTCTGCTGCTGCTGCTGCTGCTGCTTCTCCTGTGCGTGCTGCTTTTCGAGCTGCTGCTGCTGCTGCAGCTGCTCTTGTTCCTGCTGCTGGCGCTGCTCCATCTGAAGCAGCAGCTGCTGCTGCTTGAGCTGGAGCTGCTGCTGCATGAGTTCCGTGTGCTGCAGCCTCTGCATGCGCTGCTGCTGCTGCTCCAGCTGTTGCTGCTGCTGCTGCATCCGGTGCTGCTGCTGCTGCAGCAGCAGCTCCCTGTTGGCCTTCCGCGCATTAAAAAGAGCAGCAACAAATAATGCTGCAATGGATAAAGTTATTGCTGCTCTTTTGCCCAGCAGCGCGAGGCCCTTGAGGGGGGCCCCCAGGGGGCCCCCCCTGGGTCTGCTGAGGCCCCTGTGGGGGCTCCTGGGGGCCCCCCTGTGGGGCCCCCCGTGGGGGACCCCGTGGGGGCCCCCATGGGGGCTCCACGGGGCCTCCCGGCGGCCCCACGGGGGGCCCCCCCTGGGGGCCCCCCG